ACCTGACCAAAAAACAAAGAATGTCGTTTACCACAAGGTGCTTGAATGAAAATCCCATTAATAAATTAATTAGAGTGTATCCCAACCTTGAACATAGCTTTCAACAATTTTTTACCTAGAAATAATAGATAGCATTGCCCTCTCCAACGTTTGCCGAGCCAGCTAGTTATTTATATTTTATTTATAATAATTATTCTCTATAATTGATCTATAATATATACGTATATGACATTTATATTACTACATATAATTTTACTAACTGAATCCCCTCTTTGATTCTTACAGAAAATGGAGCGTCAGGGCAAGATGGAGCTGGCGGCCAAGGAGCGCGAGTCGCAGCGTCTACAGCTAATACCCAAGAAATGGAATCGTCGCGAGGAATACGAATTCCTGCGCGTGCTCACAGGCTACGGTGTGGATATGCAGCTGAACACGCCCATGGGCGGCAACAGCAACAGCAGCATCAACATCACTAACAGCAGTGGCGCTAGCCAGACGCCCGACTGGACCAAGTTCAAGCAGATGGCACATCTGGAGCGGAAGAGCGATGAAACATTGAGTGATTACTACAAAGTGTTTGTGGCCATGTGCCGAAGACAGGCTGGCCTGAAGCTCAGCGAGAATGAGCGTGGACTCGAAGGCATTGTCGAGGAGGTGGAGAAGGAGCACGCCAAGCTCATTCTAGATCGGCTTGAGCTGCTGTCCAAGCTGCGCGAAGTAGCGCGCCATCCCCAGCTGGAGGAACGACTGAAACTGTGCATGATGAATGCGGATACGCCCGATTGGTGGGAGCCGGGACGGCATGATAAGGAGCTGATTGCAGCCGTGTTGAAGCACGGTCTCTATCGCTCCGAGACCTTCATCTTCAATGATCCCAACTTTAGTTTCTGCGAGTCGGAAAAGCGCTTCATTAGGGAACTGGAGGCCCAGATACAGCGCACCATCAAGCTGGAGGCGTTCAATGCGGAGAAGGCGGCCGCAGCTGAGAAAGCTGCAGCAGCAGAAAAAGCGGCAGCAGCCGCCGCAGCAGCTGCAGCGGCAGTTAAGCATGAGATCATCGATCTGGACGATGAGCTGTTGACCAAGGAGAGCGTCATCAAGAAGGAGTCACCTGTGAAAGCGGAAGTGAAGCCAGAACAGAGCGCAGACAAGGCGGAAGTCGATGAGGCGAGCGAAGAGAAAGCAACCGCTGATAAAGTGGACGAGGAGAAGGTTGAAGAGAAGCCGTCCGACAAGCAAACGCCGAAGGATGAAGCCAAGCCAAGCAGTGAAACCGCTGAAGACGCTGAAGAGCTGCCCGCGGCCAAGGCAAGTGAAGCGGAGGCTGAGACTCCAGCTGAGGCCGAGACGGAGGCCAAATCCAAGGAGCAGAGCGAGGAGAAAATGGATGTGGATGCCGAGCCCATTGCAGAGAATGGCAATGAAAAGGAAGCCGAAACGGAAGCTGTTGCCACAGCCGAAGCAGAGAAGCCAGCTGAGAGCCTCAAGGACGAAGCAGCAGAAAAAGACGAGGAGAAGAAGTCAAGTGACAAACAAGACGAAGAAGACTCCAAGATGGAAACGGAATCCACAAAGTCAATTGCTGCCGAGGAAAAGGAATCCACTGAAACGTCGGCTACAGAAAAAGAGGACGAAGCAGCTGCCAAAGCAGAAGGCGAAAAAGGCGACGAAGCAGTTGCCGAGGCTGTCAAAGAGACGCCCGAGAAGGAGAAGCAGAAGGAGAACGAGAATGAGAAGGAAACAGCTGCAGCTGAAACAACTGAAACTGAAACTGAAACGAAGAAAGTTGAAACCGAGGCAGAGGTCAGCAAGGCAGATGAGTCCAAGACTTCGAGCAGTGCGGACAAGCCCGCAGCGGAGCAGGAGATACTCGATCTGGTGGCTGGACCCAGTGATCCGGATGACGATGAGGTCATGAAGGAGAAGGAGAAGGCAGTCGAGGAGGAATGCAAGAAGCAAGCCGCTGAACTCAAGGCGCGCTTCCCCGACCTCGAGGTCATTCAGCCGGCGGCTGTGAAACAGCAAAAGCTGGAGAAACCGAAGCTGGAGATGTGCATGATCCGTTGGTTCAAGGACTTTGCCCTAGAGCGACGCATCGCCCACATTGTGGTGTGCGTGGAGACCAACAAGTGGCCAGTGGACAAGAACTACAGTGCCTTTGCCGGCCTGAAGGGCAACACGGATCTGAACATCGCCCTGCATGAGTCCATACCCCATCTGAATAGCAGCGAGCGCCGCTCCACGACGCCCGACGTGATAACCATAACCACAGATCAGGGCGTGACGAAGCACTTGCAGGCCTCGCAGATGCAACAGGTGGCCAGCAGTGCCGGCGTCGTCCCTGCCGCCAGCAGCGTGCCGGCGTTGCCCAAGCCCCAGATAACAGCGCCAACAACGCTGCCTGGCCTGGATGCGAACAGCATCAATGCGGCTGTGGCAGCTGCTGTCGCAGCGGCAGCCAGTGGCGGCAATGCCACATCTCTGTCAGCTCTGCTGCCGGGCATGTCGCTGAGCGCGGCCACCGCGGGCGCAAGTGCAGCGGCAGCTGCAGCTGTCGGGGCAGCTGGTCTGAATGTGCCCAGTGCTGGAACCCTGGGCTCGAATGCGGGCAAGAAGCGCAAGCGTCACATCGCCATCGATGTGGAGACGGAACGCGCCAAGCTGCATGCGCTGCTGAATAGCTCGTCAAGTAAGTGGATGATAATGGATGATCAATCAGTGAGCCACAACTCATGTATTCTGTATTCCTCTTTTCCAGTGGCTCCCAAAGATTGGGAAAGCGAAATAGCCAATATGGAGGCTCTAACCGGAGCTGCAGCTCGTCGTGGTGGCAGCTCAAGCTCGGCTGCGGCCTCTGCGGCCGCATTGAGTGGAATGCAACCGCCGCCCGCACATCAGCATGCCTCGCTGTCGCGTCAGTCCTCCGGTCAGTTCAATAAGCCCGCTGTGCCGGCCATGAAGACGCCGCCGCCATCAATGGGCGCGCCCATGGACTTGTCCTCAAGGTGCGTAAGACTTGACTGCCAGGAAACATCCCATCCCATCCCATCCAATCCGCTTCACATATTAACACGCCCTTTATCAACTCTACACAGCAGCCTGCCCAAGATGAATATGACAGAAATGCTAAAGTCAGCCTCTAGCTCGGGCGCCATCGATCTGAGTGAGGTGCAGGACTTTTCGATGCCCTCCAAGAAGTCGAGCGTGCATGCAGCGCTCAGTTCCGCTTTCCCGTCAATGGGCGGCAGCAAAAGCAAGCTGGATGATACGCTCAACAAGCTGATGAAGAAAAACAATTGCGTAAGTTTCAAATGGATATGAAATGCTGAGCAACTGTTAATTATATATAAATCCTTTGCAGACCATTGAGGAGCCCGTCATTGGCAAGGAGAAGAAACGCAAGAAGCTGGATGAGATTGTCCTGGGTCTATCGGCTGCCAAGGAGCAAAAGACCTTCCCCGATCCCTCGTTGCCCTCGTCGAAGAAGCCACAGATACCGCCCAGTGTGTCGGTGACGCCGGCTAATCTTCAGGCGCCCAGCCAGCAGCAGTCCAATCAGAAACCATTTACCATCACTGTGACGACAGTGCCCGGAAGTGAGTTGGAGTCTCTGCGCTTTCATACTCTAAATAGCCCAAGCCGGAGGCGTCTCATCCAACCAACAAAAACTAACTTGTGCAATTCTCTCTTCTCTTTGTCCGTTGCAGAGTCCAAGAGCGGCGGCCAAAGCAGCGGCAGCGGCAGCGGCGCTGGAGCCGGCGCCAGCAGCTCCTCGGGCAGCGGCCTGAGCGCCCTGCAAAACATGGCCATGGGCGGTCTGTCCAGCAAGGACAGTCTGAACGCACTGCTCGCCCAGACAATGGCTACCGATCCGCAATCGTTCCTCAAGCAACAGCAGAAGATGATGCAGTTCCTGCCGCCCTCGCAGCGCAAGGCCTACGAGAACATGCTCGCCGAAATGGAGCAGGCAATGAAGCTGAGCTGCAAGTACAACTCCTCGCACGATGTCAAGGTGAACAAGTGGCTCTCGGACATGACCAGTCCGCTGGGCGATCAGCTGAGCATTGACTATGTGGGAGCCGGTGCTGGAGGCGGCGGAGGCGGAGCTGGCAGCAGCAACAGCCGTCGCGGCAATCGAGGCCAACAGAGCAGCTCGAGTGCACAGCAGGCGGCCAATGCGGCGCAGTTGCAGAAGCAACAGCAACAGCAGCAACAACAGCAACAGCAACAACAGCAGCAGCAACAGCAGCAACAACAACAGCAGCAACAACAACAGCAGCAGCAACAGCAGCAACAATCGATGGCTGGACCACAGGGTCTGACCGGAGAGGAGCCCGTGCCGGTGATCAATAAGCAAACGGGCAAACGACTGGGCGGCAATAAGGCGCCCCAACTGAAGCGTCTGATGCAGTGGTAAGTGGAAATCAAGTGAGATGGAAAACAAGGAGCATAACATATTTCCATTCCTTGTGCTTAACAGGCTCACCGAGAATCCCAACTATGAGGTAGATCCCAAATGGCTCGAACAGATGCAGAATCCCATGTCAGCGCCCTCACCCAAGCCCAGTGTGAACACCATGGACAACAGCAGCTACGGCGTCTCCAAATCGCATGGTGGACGACCCTCGTCCAATTCAAGCAACGCCTCTTCCAGCAGCCACACCCAGCAGCCGAGTGCTGCGCAGTCGCCGGCTGGCAATTCGAGCGGCTCGTCGAAGAAGTCGTCGAGGCAGAGTCAATCGGCGGCGGCCTTGGATCAGGCGGCGCTGCAGTTCGGTTCGCTGGCTGGCCTCAATCCCAGTTTGCTGGCCAATCTGCCCGGCTTGGGCGCCTTCGATCCGAAGAATCCGCTCGCCGCCTTCGATCCGAAGAATCCGCTGCTCTCGATGCCGTTTGGCGGCATGCCCGGCATGAGCAATCTGCCCGGTCTGGGCAATCTCAACAATATGAATCTGTTCGCCAGCCTGGCCGGCATGGGCGGCTTGGGTAATCTGGCCGGCATGGATGCCCAGTCACTGGCTGCGCTCATGGCTGCTGCTGGACCAACGCTTGGCGGCCTCACGGGCAGCACAAACGCGGGCTCCGGCAAGAGCCAGTCGCAGTCCGGTGGTGGCGGCAACTCCTCCAGCACCTCCTCCTCGTCGGCGGCCAGCAAGAAGAAGCAACAGCAGCAGAACGAAGCCGCCCAACTGGCAGCCGTTGCTGCCGCCGCTGCAGTCAACAACAGCGGAGCCGGCAGCTCCTCGGGAGGCGGCAAGAACTCGAACGCCTCGGCCTCACAGTTGGCAGCCGGCTTTCCGTTCCTCTTCCCGAATCCCTCGCTGCTGTATCCGCCCATGGGCCTGGGTGGACTCAATCCCTACTCGCTGGGCAGCAGTGGCCTGGGCTCCGCATACGATCAGCTGGCACAGCAATATAATCTGCTGAATGGCGTGGCCACCTCATCGGCCGCTGTCACCGGATCCACGCAGTCGGGCAAGTCGCATCAGTCGCAGTCGAGCAAGTCGAGCAATTCACGCAACGCCTCCAACTCGGCGGCGAATTCGGCAGCGAATCTAATGAATGTCATGGCCAGCATGAGCGCCAACACGGTGACCACTCCATCCAGCTCGAGCTCCAGTCGCAGCCGCCAGAGCAGCAGCCAGCGCAACTCGGCTGCCTCGGCCACGCCCAGTGCTGCGGACATGGCACAGCTGTCCAGTCTACTGATGCCTGGTGCTGATCCCCATCTGCTCGAGTCGCTCAGTCGCATGAGCAGCATGGATCTGGCCCAAGCCACCCGTCTCATGAGCTCCTTGGGCATGCCGCCGCTGCCCACGCCCAGCAGCTCGAACAGCAACAGCACCAGCAGCTCCAGTGCCGCCAGCAAACGTGCCGCAGCAGCAGCCGCTGCCAATGAGGCATCCGCCAAGGAGCAACAGAAGTGGTTCGAGAGCATTGCGCGTGGTGCATTGCCCACGGATCTGGCCGCACTGCAGGCCTTCTCGCAGGGCAAGATGCCGAGCACCTCCTCCGTCAGCTCGAACAGCGGCGGCGGCTCCAGCTCGGGCAGCAAGAGCTCCAAGTCTGCAGCGGCAGCCGCCGCAGCAGCCGCAGCCGCAGCTGCCCAAATGCCTCAGATCCCAGGCATGTCCAGTGACTTCTCGCAGGCACTTCTCGCCGAGATGGCCGCCCAGGCAATGGCTGCCGCCGGCGGTTCGCTGCCACTGAGTGGACCCGGTTCGCTGGCCAGCTTAGCTGGCCTGACAGGCGGCTCGTCCTCCTCCGCTGGAGGCGGAGGTGGCGGCGGCGGAAGCAGCAGCAGCAGCTCGGCTGCCAAGCGACAGCGCGAACAGGATGCATTCAAGCAGCAAATGGACTTCTACACCAAGTCGTTGGGCCTGGGCTCGGGCATCTCGCTGATACCCACCTCGTCGTCGGGCAGCAGTAGCAGCCTGAATGCTGCCGCCGCCTATGCAGCCGCTCTGGATGCAGAGCACCTGCAGCAGCAGCAGCAGCAGCAGCAACAGCAGCAGCAACACAAATCGAAACGCGCACGCAGCGAGCTGCATCCCACGAAGGATGAGCTGGCAGCTGCTGCTCTAGCTGCTGGTCTGCCGCTCAATTTGGGAGCCAGCATCGAGAAGAGTTTGCGTGGTGGCTCCAGCAGCTCCTCGACGCCAGCGCCGCCCACGCCCACCCCCGAGCAGGACAAAGTGACCCTGACACCGTTGAACGCAAGCGCCTCGAGTGCCGCCAATGCGGCGATTGCGGCCAATCTGCCATCACAGACAACGATCACCATTGCGCCGCCCATCAGCAGCGGCGCCAGCACCAGCAGCGAGCGGTCGGAGCGCAGCGAGTCGCGCATCTCGTTGACCATAACGAATGCGGCGGATGCCGCCAAACTGCCACCGCCCTACGAGGAGGCCGACGAGCTGATCATACAGCCCATACTGAAGAAGCCAGCGGCGCCGGGCAGCAGTCACAGCGGTAGCGTTGAGGATCTGGATGCCAGTGGAGCAGCCAACAATTCAGCGGCCAATTTGAGTGGTTCCAGCAGCAGCAGCTCCTCCGTCGCCGCCGCAGCGGCAGCGGCGGCTGCTGCCGAAGAGAATCGACGCTCTTCCAATCGTCTAAAGCGTCCGCGTTCCGGCAACGAAACCGAACAACAGCCCCCAGAGAAGCGGCGCGAGCTGCGTTCCACGCGTCACACACGTCAGTCGGCGGATGCTGCCACTCTAAATCTATCGGCGGGCAGCGAGTCTGAGGACCGGAATGAATGAGTAAAGCGAAGCGCCTAGCAACACGACAGCGCCCCAAGTGTGGGCGTCCGAACCAGACAGGGCAACAGGAACAGTAAATGCAACAAACGCATCAACAACAACAACAACAACAAGAAGAATATAAGTAACAAACCTAAAGCTAAACACGTTAAAAACAAAACCAACAACCAGAAGCAAAAGCAAACGCCACAACAACAACAACAACAGCAACAACTCAAAAAGGCTACTAGACTGAGCCGAACGAGAAATGCGAATGGCAACGGTAGCGGTAACGGTAGCAGTAACGGTAACGGAAACGGAAACGGACGAGCAGCGGCTAAAGCTGAGACAAGAAGCGCACGCAAATTGAACTCAAGGCTAAATGTAACAAGCAGATGCACGCGAACTAGTTCCAAAGCGAGAACCAGAACAAGAGCGCGCATTAGTGCGAATAGAAGTAGTAGAACAGTTAAGCTTAAAGTTGTGTAAAATATAAGTAAATCCCCCAACACACACACACATATAAATAAATAAATATATATATTTATATAAATATGATATATATACATATTTATATATTTATATATATATATATATATGTATGATAGAGAGATAGAGCTAGCGAGTATAGGTTGAGTGCTTGGATGCTGCTGCTGCAACGGGACTGGAGTGCTGAATGCTTCTGCCTGCCACAATTGCTGCTTGTGGCCGGACAATTGGGGCAATCACACGCTATGCATCCTCCTCAACTTGGCTAAGATCATGATGAAGTAGCCTGGCAATTGTTGTTATGCCCAGCCACGCCTACCGCTCTCCATCGACCACGTCCTGCTGCAACAATGGCGTGGCCGGGTGACGATAGGCGTGGCTGGATGGCGCGACCTTTGCTGTGCGAGTATATTAAAAAAAGCGCTTATAATTTAATTGTAACAACGTGGCGGTGGGCTCAGGTGGGTGGTGCGTGTCCAGGATAGGCTTGCTGCTGCCACAATGGCTGCCACGCCCCCAAGCCACGGCCCACACAACACAAGCAGATAAATATCGGTTTAAATTATTGCAAATTATTATTGATAAAAAGGTTAAGCAGATGAAAAACAAAAACAAAAACGAGAAAAAAAAAACATGTTTAAACAACAAAACTAACTTAAAAGCAGATTGATTGATTAACAAGAGACACACACATACATACACACCTATTATGATGTATACACACGCATATATACATATATATATATAGATATAGTTTAATTGGGTTCAATGCTGTCGTCCTTCACAAGAGTTAAACTTAATCACAAAAAAACAAAACAAAACAAAAAAAAATCAACCTGTACATATTTTAGTATCTTTAATGGATCTTTAATCGTATCAAGTCGGATCGTATCAGTGTCCCAATTCTTATATTTCTCAACCAATTTGTTTCCGATTTATATATATATTTATATTTTGCAATGAACATGTGTGTGTGTATGTGACCTAAATCCAAACTATGTTTTTTTTTTTAACTTGATATCGTCCTATGCCTATGTTAAACTATTCTATGTACTCTGCATGTTCTATATATATATTTATGTATGTATATACACATGCATATTCACATTTATATATATGAGTATTGATACATATATATACATACATATATATATTGACATTGTCGTCAAATCGCTTTTAATTTTTATTAATTTTAATTTTATGTAATTAGTAAAACAATTTTATATTGTGTAAGTTTTTAATTTGTATTTTGTATGTTTTTAAAAATGAATTGACACAAAGCAACAACAAATCAGCAAACAAAATCGATATATTAAAGAAGGCAAAAAGATGTTTAACAATTTGAAATACAATATTTATGCGTACATGTAATGCATTTTCATTATATATTTATATATGTATTTATATATATAAATTAAATGGAAGTACATTTTTTTGTTTGCACTTCGATCCATTAAACTTAACAAAATAAAAAGTAAACGAAACAAAAACAAAAAAAAGCAGTTGCACCAACAGACAAGAGCAAATAACAATTTAAATTAGAGATGCTAAGTATAAATCTTAAAGTATGATAATTAAACACAACTACAGCAACAACAAGATAAATATATGAAAAATAAATTTCCAAAATTACAAAAATAATTGACTTTTTCATTGAGAACCGAAAACTTGATTTAATTTTATTAAAAACTATCTATCAGTCAAGAATGTTATGTTCGGAGTTATGCAACCTCGATTTTTGAAAAGTATTTTAGATTTGCAATTGCAGTAGAATCAATTCGATTTCAAAAAAATTCGAAATTCAAAAGCAATCCAGATGAGTTCTATAATCAATTTTTACTCAGCCCCCCAATCGCTGCCAGAACAATTTGATGGCAGTCCCACTTAAGTAACCCTCGAAAGAATGAGACATCATTTGGTTGTTTACTACGCAATTGATAGATTTATATATGCTTGTTTGTATATTCACAGTAATTGAGTTAAACTTAATTAGAGGCAACAGAAGCTGCTTTTAGCATTGCGTTAAATCAAAATTTTAATTTATAAATTGACATACAGACATGGGTCTAATTCTAATTTCGCTGTTCAAATATCGCCGATCGCTTAAGCCAATGGAGGATGCGGGGATGAGGGGATAAGAACTTACAATAAATACAAAAAACGTACAAATATATGCATGTATAATATACAATATATAAATCGGTGCATTAGCAGTTAAAGCACTTTAACAGTAATGTCTCCCTCCACACCACAGGGAGGAGCGCATCACCTCGACACGATAGTAAACTTTGAGTCTTAAAGGCTATATATATGAATATATATATGTATCAAATTTGCGCATATGGTAGCCCTCGGCTTAGTTTTGGCTTCGTTCCTACATATAATTTAAATATAAGGATCGCTCTAACGCCTCCTCGAGCAGTTCATCATTGCGACGCTTCTCCTCAGGCGTTAGCTCGCCCAGCTCATCGAAGCCATCGTCTGAGTAGGCAGGCTCCTCCTCCGGCCGCACCTCGCCATCCACTGGTGGCAGCAATGGTTCGCCAATGATGTGGCGTATATCATTGGGCAACGCCTCAGATCCCTTTAGCTGCAAATAGATGGCCTCCGCTGTTTCCAGAGTGCGCTTCAAGTCGATGGTGCCGGTTAGTTCGTTGACATGCTTAAGGATTTCGGTGAATTCGTATTTCCTATCGATAATCACGTTCGTCTCCTGATCGAGTATGGCCACCGAGAAGAGCAAATGGAAGTTGGGACAAGGTAGACGTGTCCACAGGCACTCCCACAGTTTGAGTACATCCTCGTTGCCCAGTTCTCGCTTGTACCAGACAAGCAGCCAGCGGAAACAGAAGTACATGTTGTCCGAATCGTGACTGCACATGTAGTTGAAGAGCGGCGCATTGGCCACCTCGAGCAATCGGCGCAGTTGCGCGAATTGTGTCTTCATGCCGGCCTGATCAATATCAAAGTTACTGAACACCATATTCATGAAGCCGACGAAACACCAAAAGGCATCCACCTCATTCACTTGAATCTCGAGTATGGGCGCCAACAGGTCAGACATTCCCTGGACATAGCCCAAATCGAAGTTGTACATAACATAGGTCATTAGTATGCCTTGAAGTAGCAACAGATTGGGATTATCTTCGCCGGCAAAGAACGGTTGGGTCCGGTCCGTGCGCTTTACGTCCTTTTCGATTTGGCACTTGCGATCGCGATAGCCGCTAAAGTTAGCTTCTTGAGCCGTGGACATCGAAAGCCATTGAGCCTTCATTTTGTAGTATTCCAACGATTTTAGTTTGCGCCGTTCAAGGCGCTCCACTTCCGTGTCAGACCATTGATAATAGTTGAGTAAGTATTTCCAGACCTCGGCACGCAGGCTGGGCACAATGCCACCTCGGAAGATGATCTCCTTGATGCGTTGGCTATCCGAGATACAGCCATCACGGGTTTGAAACTCCCGCCACTGAGCTTCATTGAGCGGTTGACCTGGAATGGAACATCATCGTCAATTTAATTGGATATCGATATTAACTAGCGACTGCGTACCGCGATGCACGCTCTGGCGAGCTGGCAGGTTGTTAACTATTTTCTCATCCTGTGCATTCAGATTCTCCAGTTCACTGTCCGCTGGCGATTTGTCGGCGCTCTCACCGCGACTCTGGCTGTTCGAGGAGCAGGCGCTATTCGTGCTGCCGCTTAGCTTGATGAACTGATAGTTGTCCGACGGCGAGGTCTGCCGATCGTTGTGCACCAATGAACCAGGGCGTGATTTCGGGGATCGCTGAAACGATGGCTGCACATAGTCCGGTATGGTACCCAGAAAGCCGGCCAGCTTATTGGGCAGCCAGCTATCCCGGGGCAGCTGGCTAGCCTTGATTTCGCCAATGTCCAATTCGGCGAAGGTCTTTTTGAGCTTCTGATTTTCCGTGTTCAGTATGGCATACTCCTCGCTGCCACCGCGACTCGTCTCGGAGCTCTCGATGAAGTGCTGCTGCCGCATGGATCGTACAAACAGATCTGCGTTTCCATGCTGAAAGAAGAACTCGCAGTGTACGCCATGATCGGATTTACGCATAAATCGTATTGTCTGACCCCGATGCCGCACCTCAACGGCAGCCAAATCATCTAATAATGCGCGCATTATCCGGGCACGGGCAGTTCCCGCATTCCCATTGCTGCCAATCTCCGCAGGCTTTGTGTTGAAGGCGCTGCACTCGGATGTGGTACGTGTGCGACCCGAGATTCTGTCAACCAGCGCCCAATCGCCCTGATCCTGGCTATCGTCGGCTATCATTATGCTATCGTTCGGCTGCCACTCCAGATACAGACGACGCCTTGGCTGGCTGTACTCCACCAAGGACAAGGAGCCGCTGGTGTTCAGCTCGGCAATGTGTTCGGCATTGGCTTTCTTCAGCAGCACACCATCGTGAGTGCACAGCACCTGCACATAATTAACAAATACGAGAGCAGTTAATACGATTAAATGAGTCAGTGTTAATGAACAAAGACTTTCAGGGGGCCGAGACGATTAACTTACGTTACCAATGCCCTGTGGTACATCCGATTCGGACGCTTTGATACCCTCTTGGGATTCGGTTAGCACGCCCAGCTGTACTTGCTGGCAGCGCTCATAGCGCACCGATTCGTTCATAGCGGCCAGCCGTTTCGATTGAGTTGCTAAAGGTTGCAATAAAAAATTTTCAGCGAATTATTACGTTCTAGATATAAACAATTGAATTTTAATCGAAATTGTATGTGTACACACTGCATGATTGCGGAGCTGCCAACTTTATGAAAAGTTTTTAGCGATAGTCGCCAGATTAATGTAAACAATTGTTTGGTATTTATTGAAGTGCAGTGGCAGCTCTAGCCTCCTGTTCCGTTCTTTCAAATTTTGGCGATGTGAATTATTTTATATGAATCTTAAAGCATTATTTTTTTTTAGTATCTATTATCTCTGTAAAGACGAAATTCATTGGATTGCATTTATTATTAAATTCTATTCTTGGAGCATATATACTTTTTGTAAATAGTTTTCCTATTATGTCAATTGTCACAGCTTATTGCATTCTGAACGGAAATCATTTACATTTACATATTCTATTAATTTGGTTGTATTATTGTCAATTATCACAGCTTGTTATTTGCATTCTGAACAGAAATCTTTCATTGACATAATATGCCTCACATTTTTATTGTGCATATTTATAAAGATTTTGAAATAACTTGCAACACAATTTAAATTAAGTCACATCATGGCCAACTGCTCGCGACCAATTGATAGAGAGCGAAATTAAATTTGTGCACTCTACACTCTACACAATTGGGCCATATGACACTCAATCGCTAATGATCGCGTCAACGGTTTTTGGCTTGATAGCCTGGTAGCGTATGCCGGAACAGGCACGTTTGATGATTCTTCAAAAATCGGCGGTATTATATATGTATGTTTGTATGTATATACCACACATATTTTTCTCGAGTTTTGTAAATAGATTAAAAGTGCCCCATTCGTTTGTGCTATGCGTTCGTGTGTGTGTGTGTGTGATAAGTGCAAGTTTTTCCGTTTCGTTTTTCCCGAATAGCGTCCGAATCGAAATTCGTACGAGCATTCGAAAACAATTTTCTGGCAGTTTTTGAATAAATTTTAGACGAGCGTTCAGTGTGCAATCTGCGAGTTCGGTGTTCAAATCGCTTTCAAAACTTTTCGGTCTGCTCAGAACAAGAGTGAAGAAAAAGCATTTTAGGACAATTGAAATTGAATATTCACAGGTGGGTGAATTTATCCATGTCGCCCCTTGGCTGTTGACCTAATGCCCCAAGGCCTTAAATTAAATTTGGCAAATCTCAAATACGAAATGCCATTGAAAGAAGCCAAAGATCAAATTAGTGCAAACAGACAATTAACTAAAAAAAGAGAGGAAAAACAAATCTATTGTTCTTTTGTGTTATGCTGGGATTATATAATACTTAATATTGTCAACAAAGCTTACACCAAATGCCAGCGATGATGGAACTTGAAAATGATCTCTGCACTTCAGCATTGGCTGTGCAGCAACATTTTATATAGTTTTTTCTTCATTAGAAAAAGTACATAACAGATGTACATATATATATGTATGCTGATCTATCTACGGAAAAACATGGCCACCGAGTTTTATCAATGAAAAACAACAAAAAGTGATACTAGCTATTGTGCTCAGAACATGCAAATTGAATACGAATCGGTTTTTGATTCGCATGCCAACTATTTACACGACATTACGCCCTTTATAGAGATCATGCTCATTCGATCGTGTGATATTTAACGCCATCTCTCAGCTCTCCCACACACACATTGGCTCTCAAAGTTTTACTCTGACACAGTCAAATCGTTTTTTTTTTTTTTTTTTCTGTTATCGAGTGAAAACAACGGCAAAAAACATGAAAATTCTGTTCGGCATTCGTGGACAGAAATAGCGCCACCCACCCAAAAACAGAAAAAGTTTTGAAACTGAAATTCGCCTTACAGCGTATTTTGGGTCGATTGGCTTAATTATGGATGAGCAATAGCCTGGGGCAGGGGAATTGTTTACGATGAGCATGATCATTTGTTTTAAATATATATCTTCTAATTACAGTCCGTAGCCATGGAGAAATCGTGTCGTCCCAAGCGTAATCGTCGGCACAGCAGGTGAGTGAGGGAGAAGACATGAGTAAAATAGAGTTCTATCACAGCTTATGTCGATGAGTTGAAATTTCAGACGTGCCTGGCCGCCAGAGGATGATTTGCATTTGCCGCGAACTGCTAAACGTCTCTTCACGCCCGACATCAAGCGCATGCTGAAGGACTGGCTGATACGACGACGAGAGAATCCATATCCAAGTCGAGAGGAGAAGAAGCAGTTGGCCGGAGAGACGGGCCTGACCTACACACAGATCTGCAATTGGTTTGCCAACTGGCGGCGCAAGCTAAAAAACTCGGAGCGTGAAAAGGCGAAAAAATCATGGGGACATTTGATCAAGAACTACAATCACAATGCACGGGGTAATGTGGAACAGTTTAGCATCTCCTCGGAGGATAGCATTTGGGAGGAGGACACGCGAGTGTGTGCAGCCGAAGATGACGAGGTCGACGACGAGGACGACGAGCTGTCCAGCCGCAGCACAGGCAGCGACGGCAATGGCAATAATGCCACCTCCAACTACTCCTCGCCGCCATACAAGCCCAACTTCTATGTGGAGTCCGAGATGCAGCACCAGCAGGTCCATCAGCAGCAAAGTGAGCGCGTGCCTATGTTGCCCACTGTTCCGGCTGGCAAGGCAAAATACAAGCAGCAGATGATGGAGAAATATCTGCGCGACAGCAACGCCCTGGACTCAAGTGGGTCGACGGCTGCCAACGACAGCACTGGCAACCAGTTAAACAAGTGGCTGGAGAGCGCGGCCAGATTCACGCCGGACAGGCATAATTATCATTTTGAGTGGAATACGAGCAGGTAAGCCATCGATGTCGTATATTGATTGCTACTCTATGCTCAACATATTCTCTATCCCTAGGCACAAATGCGTTGGGCAGGAGCGGCCCGTGCAGAGCCAGATGCTGTTCACTAGCGATGCCACTGCTGCGGCACGTGGCGAACGTTGGCTGTTGCATCACAAGGACGAACTGGATGCCGCCGAAGCGTTAGCGAACTTGGCCTTTAACTGCAGACAGCGCTGGCAACATCACATGGCAGCCACAATAAGCTCCTAGGACGACATTCCAGGCCATTGGAAAAGTGCAATCTAGTTGATAAGATTTAATTTATATGTAGTATGAAAGACAAATGAGGAATACTATTTTCTTTTCGCTGTTATTGTTAAATGAACACGTGTAACTTATGTCTGCTTTTCCTCTTCCGTTGCCTGCTCCTGCTCCTGCTTTCCTGTCGTATCGCCCTTGGCGTGCACGTCCAGCACTTTGATTAGATTGCATTGATGCGCTTGGAGCTGCTGCACCACGTTGCCCGCCGCCATGTTCAGTGTCTGCACCAACTGCGCCTGTGCCGCTTGCAGTCCAGGCATCTGTGCAAAGTCCACCAGCTCATTCCGACTGAGCAGTTTCTGCTCCACAATGCCGCCCAGCAAGACCATTTGCGGCACTTTTCGTGTGATTCGAAGCAGTGCACCCACTCGTTGTTGATCGGGCGAGAACACAATGCAATGGTTAGAGTGGAACAGTGGCAAAATAGCCTCATATTGGGTGCCGGCTACAGCTTGTGCAATTATCTTCCTGCCGTAGGCTTTCAGGTGCATGTTCTGCTTGTGCAGCTGCACGCGAACTCGAAAGATCTCGTCTGACGTTATGGAGTTTAAATGGAAAATCGCCACCAGCTTGGAGTGATCTAGCCAGTTGCGTACCTCACGTGCTATGATCGCATTGTAGGGATTCTCCACCTGAACGCCCATGCGTTCTGCTCGCGGCTGAAAACAGGTAAGAGCCTTTGGCGCCTCTGGATATTTGGGTTGTGTAACGGCCACGACGCGGGCACGCTCATAATGCGGTTGCTTTGGACGTTGTATATTTATTTTTCCGCGAAAACGCATAAACTGCAACAGCGGCCCACGAGCCGATGTGAGAGGCAGGCCTGCAAATGAGTGAATTGTATAATCATACAGCTGTTGCTGCTAGCATCAATTGTGGGGGAAACACGTGCGTTTACCTTGCTGAAGTAGATTGGACATTCTTGATTGCAATTTGCTCAACTATATAACTATGTTTATTTACTATTATCTAATTATTACCAATAATAAACTTAATAATCAGTGAGCCCAAAGTTTTCCGCTTTGATTATTTCGATTGTATATCGATAACATAAAATGTGTGCAGGACAGCTGTTGCTGTTAATTTTTAATTGCAGTAACAGCTCTCTGTTAAAAGACTCAATGATAACAGCGCATCAAACTGTTCCCAAAAACTTAAATGTGTTCCTAAACAAGAATAGTAGTAGACTTCACAGATTAAAAAATATTGTGTATATCAAGTATTATTTATATATTGAATTCACCTCCTCGCTTTGATGTTGCTTTTCTTTGAATCGTAAATATAATACCCAAAATGTTGAAACTGTTCAACTATGAGCTACTTTTTGAGTTCCACATACTCATTTTGATATGCCATAGAAGTACGGCTCCATTCGCCTTTCCATTAGCCGCCAACCAAATATCAACAAAAATTTCACATATAATGCATAGGTATAGAATTTATTTAATTACAGGTATAACATTAACATCTATATATATATATGTATCTATATATATATATATTTGTGTTTTGTTTTATATATGTATATATACTATAAATTGCATTTCGCTAGTGGATCTTGTGGGCTGATAACGGTCTATCATCGAACAACCAACAACTATTGTGAACGAACTCGATTTGGACGTTGGGTTAACGTTGAATTAGTTGAAAAAATAAATAAAACAAATCATTTAACAGAAAAAGTTTATTGAATTGGTTTATTAATTCACTTAGAAATAAGTGTAATTTTATCGTTTTTTCTCATTAATTAACTTAAAAATAACTAAAAATGTCTTAAAACAATAGCGTTTCATCTGTTCTTGTGTTTACTGACAAAAAAGGTTTTTACTTTTTTCTCTTATTTTTGCGATTTTTTTCACTTCTCTGATCATTTCTCATAGTCGTAATATTTATATATATATATATTTGTTTTTGTTTGTTTATCGTGTTATATAATGTACAGAGTTTAGTTTTAAAACATACAACTAAATACGCGCTAAACACTAATTAAACTGTATTTACATGTACATGAATTATTGATTAGACGCTAAATAATTTAAATATTTTACAAATTTCTTTTTGCTTTTACTTGTATAATTCTTTCATTTTCTTTTCTTATTTCTCTTGTTTTCTGTTTTCATCGTCACATAATTTACAATTGGGTGTGAAAACGTTTAAGTTTAAGGAGTGTACAGAGAGGACATTTTTATTTATATATATGTATATATATGTCTATATGAATATATATATATATATATATATACAATTATATATGTGTGTTTATGTGTGTGTGTGTTGTTTCTATAGCTGTACATATATGTTTTACCTGTCTGGCAATTTACAAAGTTTCATGCTAAAGAGCTAAACATTGAAGAAATATAAAAAGAACACCCAACTTTGCTTGAACTAGTTTCTTGTACAGTGTTGTGGCAGTGATGGTGGTGTTGTTGTTGTTGAAATAGTAGTCGCTGTTTCTGTTTGACTGTAATTTTTCAAGCAAAACTGGTGAGAGTGTAAATAGGGAAACAGGCGGCACAAACGACAACGTCGCCTTGTGCCCCTGGCAAAAGCTATAAACTGAAGCAACAAATCTTCTCTCTAGACATTAAAATATTTGGCTTAACACATATTTGTTTATAATTAAATAGATATTTCATAAGTGTAATTTATATATATGTAGTTGTATGTGTATAAATGTGCTTGTATATAAATGTGTGTTTGTATGTATGTATGTGGGTTAATCTACTTTTTATTATGTTGGTAATTTTAGGAAAAAGCCTCTGGGCGCATCTTTAAACCTAATTGTGCTTAACAGCAGTTGGCGACAGGTGGCGCTTGCGGCGTTCTTCGGGTCAATGCGACACGGGCAACTAAGGCGCGCAACACATGGAGCCGAGGAACAAAATTGAAATTGAAATTTATTAGGACATAAAAATAGAAACGAAACTTAATTAAGAAGCATTGAAACTTTGTAAATTGCGAGCGGTAAGTGTATATATGTGTGTTTGTATCTATCTGTCTGTCTCTGTATGTGTGTGAAATTCTTCTGTTCACCGATCGAAAACTTAAACGTGTCTTGTTTTATATCTTCTTTTCGAATAGGGATAGTAGGTATATATGCTTTTATGTGGGTATGTATGGATAGTAAGTAGTATGTAGTACAGTAAACAGTAAGGTATTTTGTTTAAGCTTTCTTTTCTTTTCACATTTACTTTTCGTTTTGTTTTCATATTCATTTTAAATTATATGCAAAAAAATATATAAACACTTTCTTGAGATCAAACTTAACGATACTTTGCAAGCTTTCAAAAATGTTGTTAAAATTATTTATATGTATTATGTTAATGAAAAGAAAAGAACCGAGAATTTTGACAAACATAGTTTTATGCAATTTAAGTGCGTTTTTTCTCTTTGTTTTTATATATTATATGTGGGGGTATATGAGGGGGTTTTCTGGGTATTTTTTGTATAACGGATTTACATTGGTTTCTGTTAGTGGGCAATCAACCAAAAACTTTATTGATTGATTGCACCCTTTACTCTCTCTCTCTCTCTTGCATTTGAATTCAATAAAGTTTGCATTTTGTGTTCATCTTTTTACTTTTTTTTTTAGATTTTAGTTTTGCTTTTTTTTAACTTTTGTTTTGTTTAAACGCTATTTAAAATTACTTAATATACTAGAAGAGCGTAACTTGTTTTTGCTTTGTTGTAGTTGGTAGTTATTTGTTGTTGTATTGGTTGGTTGTTTACTTTACATGTGTTTTTCACTTTTCAGTTGTTGTTGTTGTTCTAGCAGTTATTTTTCAGAGACATGGCAGGTAGTTTTTCTAAAAGTCACATTTGTGTTGTTTTTTTGTAGATCAGAGGATGAACGCCTTCGTTTTTTATACGGTGGCAATGACAATCAATAGATGAGCCAGTTCGGCAACACGATTTTTGAGATCGGGCGCAGCACGCTCCAGATTCTCATTGGCAAAATCACAGGCGGGGAATATATGCACCACATATGCTGCCTGATCGCTTCCCGGCATGGGTATATTCACAATTCCAGCGGCCATCTTTTGCTGCAGATATGTAATGAAGCCGGTCTGCAGATTCCGTGAATGCTGCAGCACATCTGCGTGATCGCGGCCACAAGGCAACGCCAATAGCATACAATGCTCTTTGTCCACCTGTGCATAAGGCAATGATTAGTTATTAACTGTTCTGTGTGGTTTGATGTGTTAAGTGTACGCACCTGCATCTTCTTGGCCACGCCCTCTAGCTGAGTCTGTTCGAGTCGCATACGCTGCGCAATGCGCAATTGGGGCGTGCTGGTCTCCGTCATGCTGGGCAGCGAAGCACGCGCCACGTTTGGATTGCCGTGCACAAAGTGCATCTGAACAGCCGCCTGGTCTGTCTTCAAGGCCAACAGGCCTTGCCACATGACCGGATACCGCTGCAACAGTGTGACCAGTGAGTCACCCGGCGGTGGCGCCATCGCGGCCGGTGGTGGCTGAGCAGGCAGCTCCATGCCGCCGTGCATAACCGAGGCTGACAGATGTTCCTGCTGTTGTTTGGCTGCAATGAGTCGTAGAGAGACGAAGTGAGTCCTGGATCTAACAAGTAAATTGGCTTTTGTATACTTACCAACTGCTGCTACCATGGACAGGCGTTCGTTCTCCCTTTCGCGTTCACGCTGCTCGCGCTCACGCTCCAATAGCTTGGCCTGGCTGGGATGTAGACTATGAGGACCTGGCTGCACGGACACCGAGACAGAGGCACCGCCACTGATGTACGGACTAGCGCTTGCGACATTAGGCGGTGGCGGCACCACCACACTAATCGACGCCGCAGCACGATGCGCCGGCGGTGGCTCCAACTGTATACTGCTACTCTCGTAGTACCCGCCACGTGTGGCCATCTCGCTGAAGTGGGCGTGGGGTATCCGAGCGTTGTGCACATAGACTTGGGCCATTTGCGGGGAGTCTGCATAGATGCAAGTATGATGTTAATAAAACTATATCTATAATTAAATATGTGTGTATATATAGACGTACCCGCTGCGGTGCGATCCTGTGGACTTTGAAGACTGTGCGGCACGGCAATGGTGCGTGGCGGGCCACTGCCTGGACGACGCAACTCCAAGGGCGGACTGCTGCTGATCATCTTGTCATCATAGTCCCCGCTGCGCATCATGTGATGTTGATATAGCATTGCAGTCATACCACGATAGGCCGTGTCGTTCTGCAAACGAAATTGGTAAGGGAAATATGTAGGATTAGTATATGCTCGAAGACATTGTTTTCTATAATGTTTTGAGTCGCTGTTTTGTTTTGGGTTACGCTACTTCAAAGCTCCGCAAGTAAAACGTGTGCATTACCGGTGTTATGGGCGATGCCTGCTGATGCGCTGGCGGTGGACTCTGTGTGCGCCGACCGCTGACATAGGCGCCCAGGTCATGCTGCGTCCATTTATGGCAGGATTAAGGATTAGCAAAATGTTAGTAAATCGTTAAGCTAGCACCATCAATGTTTAGTGTACAGGTTTAGTATATTACTATATTCATGATTATATTTAGCATATTAAAAACTATGCTTACCATGCTGGCGTCGAAGGGTGGCACGCCTGGCATGCCCGATGGCAATACCAGCGGCGGAACACGCGGCTGTCCCTGCGGACTGATGTTTGGAATGGCCGTACGCAAAACTGTGAGCAAAGGATTGTTGATAAGTAAAGAGTCGAGAGTCCAGTGAGTGGCATATCTTGGCTTACCTGCTGCCGCATTGGGTTGCTGTTGGCCTGGCTTCATTGGCGGCGGACTGCCCACGCTGCCGGGCAACATCTGGCTCACCGCCTGCAGACTGTGCACCACTGAAATGGGCTTGTTTGGCGGTGGCGATGGGGTCAGCTGATGTTGCTGTGGCTGCAAATGCGCCGCTGGCTTTGGCTGCAACAGCAGATTAGCATGCGCGGGAAGCAGTAGATTGTGCGGTGGCATCTGCACCACCGGCTGCGGTGCCTTCTGCTTGTACAGTTGCTGTGCTTGCTGCTGCTGTGCTGGCGCCTGCTGCGCATAGCCAAAGTTCTGTTTCGCCAGTAGTTGCGGCGGCTGTTGTTGTTGTTGTTGCTGCTGCTGTTGCTGCTGTGGTGCGGGCAACACTGAAGCCTTCGAGCTTACCACATGCAGTATCTGGGGATGCACAGTTGATGCTGTTGCTGTGGCCTGCTTGATGACCAGCGTCTGTTGCTGTTGCTGCTGTGGTCCATTGGGTGGCTGCTGCTGCGACTGTTGCACATGCTGAGCTGCTGTAATGCGTGGCGAGTGTGGTGAATGCGCTGTTGGCGGTGGTATATTGACCAGCAAATGTTGTTGCTGCTGTTGTCCCGGCTGCTGCTGCTGTGCCTGTTGTTGTTGGCCAAGCATGTGGCGCGTAATGAGATTCGGCTGCAACAGTTGCTGATTGCCGGCTGCATCTGTGAGCAACATGTGACCGGGATGAGGCGGTTGCTGATGCTGTTTGCTGGGTGTCAATTGCTGCTGCTGCTGCTGTTGTTGTTGTTGCTGCTGTTGCAGATTCTTTTCGCGATTGAGCACGTGCGCTTTCAGTGGTTGCGGTGGACGCACCGTTGTATGCTGTGCGTGCTGCAACACGGTTGTCATCACCAGCGGCTGCTTGTTAGCCGGAACATGTTGTTGTTGTGGCTGCGGAGGTAACTGCTGTAGCTGCTGTTGTTGTTGTTGCGGCTGCTGCTGCTGTTGCTGCAGTATTATTTGCGTCGGCTGTGTGGGCGGGGCATTACTCTTGACCAGCACACTGACCGGCTTGTTGAGCAATGTGGCCGCTGCCTCTTGCACTTGCAACTGCACAGGCTTGCTCAGCGTTGTTATGGGCGTGGCAGGCGCTATGACTGTGGCGCTGATCTGCAGCTGTTGCTGCTGTTGTTGCTGTTGCAGCTGCTGCTGCTGATGTTGCTGCTGCTGTTGCTGCAGTGGCGTCACCTCATTGCTGCTGTTAGCTGGCGCCGCTGCATTGGCAGCCGGCAAATTGCCCTCCTTGCCCTGCGGCATGCCCGCCGTAATGACGCCCGTAACCGGATCGATTAGCGCCTTGCTCACCGCATCTGCGGCGCCGCCTGTGATCTTCTGCGTGGCCGCCGGAGCGGCTGTTTGATGCATGGGCGGCATGGACGAATTGATGGCCTGATAGGATTCAATTTCGGCTGCTGCAATCGCCTTCTTCTTGGGATGCTGCGGCGTGGGCTTTGACACCACAACAGGCGGCAATGGCAATGGCTCTGCGGGTGTTGGTGCAATCGTCTGGACAGGAGGAGCTGGCGGTGCTTCCTTAACCTCGGGCACATGGGTAACGTGCGGCGGTGCGACTGACTGTGGTGGTTGCTGTTGCTGTTGCAGTTGCATAGGTGTGACTGCTGGTGGTTCAACAACAGCTGCTGCTGCGGTTGCTGCTGGTGGTGTTGGTGCAGTTGTTGGTATTGGGGCAGGCGCTGCTGCTGGTGCTGGGGCCACAGGTGGTGGCAGCAACAGTGGCTGCGGCTCCTCCTGCAAGCCAGCTGGTGGCTCACATATGGTCTTGCGTTCCTTGGAGCGTCGCGGCCTGCCCACCGCATTCGGCGTTTGTACAGCATCTGGCTTCTTAGCCTGGGCATGGCGACCGGAGCGTCGAGGTGGCGTTTGCGCTCCTTTGGGCAATTGTTGCTGCGGCTGCTGTTGTTGTGGTTGTTGCTGCTGCTGTTGTTGCAATTGCTGCTGAAGTTGTTGCTGCTGCTGTGTATTGGTGTTGCGCACTACGTCCTCTATAATATCGTCCACAGTGCTACGATCCTCCTTCTCTTGCAGCCGACGTGACTTACGCGTGTTGCACGACTCCGAGCTGTCCGTGTTGTGCTCCAGCTGTGGTTGCTGCTGCTGCTGCTGCTGTTGTTGCTGTTGTTGCTGTGGCTGTGTCGCTTCCGCTTGACTCTCCAGTTCGCTGCTATTCTTCAGCTTGTTGATGGTCAGTATGAGTCGCGGTCGCGGGTCATCGGCAGCAGCTGCTGCCGCTGTGGCAACAACTGGAGTTGCCTTTATCTTGGGCTCAGCATCGCCAACATCGTCATGGAACTCGTATATATCCTGACTGGATCCGCTGGCTTGTGTCAATGCCTGATTCCTGGCCTTCTTCTCAGCGGCTGTGGGCACAGGCATTGCCATAAGTGCAGGCGGCACAGGCTCCTTCTGCTGCTGTTGCTGCTGTGCCAGCTGTTGCTGTTGTGCCAGCTGTTGCTGTTGCAGCTGCTGTTGCTGTAGCAACAAGTTCCGTGGCGGTCTGCCCTTGCGTCCACGTGTCACTGGCGCCGTCACAGGCTTGCGCAGGCGTGTGTGTACACCGTTGTCGCCCGGCGTCAGCAACGAACTGGGCTCCGTAGCTGCTGGTGGCAATCCGGCAGCTTGTTTGGCCTTGGCACCGCGTGGCTGGCGTCCGCGTTTTGCTGCCGTGCCACGCGCGCTTGGCGGTCGACCTAGTTGCTTGAGAGCCTTCACTGTGAGTTGACGTGTTTCGGTTTCATCCTCGGTGTCATGATCATTGGAGCTGACATTGGCAGCAACTGTTGGTGTTGTTGATGCTGCAGCTACAGCTGCTGCTGTTGCTGGCGGCTCACTGGGCAACGAAGGTGTTGTTTCAGCTGAGGGCAATTCAGTTACAGGTGGTTGCTGTTGTTGTTGTTGCTGCTGCTGCAATTGTGTTGCTGCTCGTTTGTTCTGGTTGTCGTCCTTGATAGCTGCGGCTGCAACAGCTGCAGCTGCTGTTGCCGGATCAAGCTTCTTGATGACACTATCAATATTCACCTCCTTGGCGGACCAGTAGTCGCTGTCCACCTCCTTCGAGTCCTGCTCGATTAGCTCATCCTGCTTGGGCTGTGAGATCTTGATGACATTCTCCTCGGTAAGCAGAGAAGCAGCTGCTGCTGCTGCCGCCGCTGCTGCTGCTGCAACCTTTGTTGCCTGTGGCGAGTTGGCCAGGCTGATGGTGGGCGTGGGCGTACGTATTACGGAAACGCTCTCCGAAGTCTTCACCGGCAACACGGGCGACTCTACAGCAGGCGCCGTCTCCTTCGGTGGCGGCGGATAGTGTATAGATGTTGGTGCCGGCACAATTTGCTGCTGCACAATTATTTTTTGTGCTGCTGGCGCGCTCTGTATAACATTGAGCGACTGTTGTTGTTGCTGTTGTGGTTGCTGGTGCTGCTGCGGCTGTTGTTGTTGTTGATGTTGTTGTTGTGCAGGCGCGCGTACCAGAATTGCAGTTGGATGCAGCTGCTGCTGTTGCTGCGCCTGTGGACTGTGCGAGCTCTGTGCACTGGGATTGATGCCCGTTGGGCTCAGTTGTTGTTGCACGTTGCGTGGCAGCTGCTGGTGTTGTTGTTGTTGCTGTTGTGCAAACACAGGCGGCTGCGGTGTCAAGTGCGTCAGCGGCTGATGCTGTTGCTGATGCGCCGTATGCAATTGTTGTTGCAGCTTTTGAATATGCAACTGCTGCTGATGCTGCTGTTGTTGTTGCTGTTGATGCATCTGGTGCTGCTGATGTTGGTGTTGCATCTGCTGTTGATGTTGCTGCTGTTGCGCCTGATATTGATGCCGTGCTTGATGTTGTTGCTGCTGTTGCTGTTGCGTGGGATGTGCCTGATGATGACCCGGCGACAACGGCGGATGTTGCATTTGTTGCTGCAAGTGTTGTTGTTGTGGATGTCCCTGCTGCTGCTGATGTTGTTGTTGCGGCTGCTGTTGCTGATGCATCTGTTGGTGCTGTTGCGGCACAAGCTGCTGTCGCTGTGGCTTGCGGTCGAGCATTTGTTGTTGTTGATGTGCATGGATGAACTTCTGCATCTGTTGTTGATGCTGCTGCTGCTGTTGCTGATGCACGTTCATCTTAGACAACATTTGAGGAGACAGTTGCTGCTGCTGCTGTTGCTGATGTTGTTGGGCATTCACATGCAAATTCTTATGCGGCGGCAAGCTACCCATGGGCGGCGAGCTGGCCACTTGCGTCTGGATCGCCTGCTGTGGCTGCACGGTGACAACCTTGCTAATGATTGTCGGGTGATGCGGCACGGGCAACGGCGGCATTTTCTGCAACGGCATCGGCAGCAATTGTGGTCCTTGACCAGCAGCAACTCCTGCGCCTGACTGCAACTCAATGACAGACTTGGGCATGCTGCTCGGTGAAGACTGTTGCTGATGTTGTTGCGGGTGTTGCGGCTGCTGTTGTTGTTGCTGTTGTTGCTGATGCAGCGGTGGACGTGGGAGGTAGCTGTTAGGTGTTGACATCTTGACACTTGTTGTGGGCGATGTTGTCGTGGTTGTGGCAACTCCACGCGCTGTGGGACTGGGCAACGGACTCATGTTCATGTTGCTGTTGCCCGTAGGCGAAGCCAGCGGATGTTGTTGCTGTGCTGGCGCTATTTGGCGCGCAGCTGGACTATGCTGGCGATTGGGCGTGCCGCGTCCCGGAGACAACAGCGGACTATGCGGCGACGGTGCACGTATACTCATTAGATAGGTGCCAGGAGGCGCTTGCTGTTGGTGTTGCTGCTGCTGTTGTTGTTGTTGTTGTTGCTGCTGCTGTTGGTGTTGCTGCTGCGGCGACAATATCAAATGCGGCACCACAAAATGTGGCGTTTGATCCGGTATAGATATTGTCGGCGGCTGCATGATGAGCGACTGCGTGCGCTGTGGCATTGGCTGATGCTGTTGCTGTGTTGTTGCTGGCGTCTGCTTGGGCGTGGAAGCCAGTGGCATTGCTTTCTGCGTCGTTGTTGGACTGCCAAAGGACAGCGAGGCTGAGCTGTTGCTGCTTGTTGCAGTCGAGCAGTTGGCCATCACATTGGACAGATCCAAATTGATGACGGGCGTTGCCGGTCGCACAGCTGCGGCAGCAGTAGTTGATGTTGTTGTTGTTGTTGCTGCTACTGCTGCTGCTGCTGTTGTTGTTGTTGTTGCTGTTGATGCTACCACTGCTGGTGCTGCGGATGGTGATACTATCGGTGCTGGGAGCACCGTTTGCACTGGCTGCACGAGTGGCTGCTGCAACTTGCTAATGGTTGGCGGCTCGATCTTCAGCAGCTGCTGAGCACTCGACTTGGTTGGAGTGCTGCTGCTACTGATGCTGCTGCTGCTGCTGTTGCTGGCATTGGGCAGCAATGGGGCTGCAACTGTTGCCGGCACTGGCACCGGAGTCGGCAGCTTGGTTATGACGGTGGGCTGCGGAGTCTCGACTGTCTGCCTCGAGCGTGCACTGGACTCGCTGCTCGGCTCAGGCGACTTGTCAGCACCACTCGACGCTGACTTGTCGGAGCCACTGTTCTGTGGTGCGGTCTCGTCGATCTTCAGGCTGGGACCGCTGCTGTCCGCCTCGTCGGCATTCTCCTCGGTGTCTGTGTCGATTTGCAGGTCGCGCTCGGATTGTGGCGTGTCCGCCTTGATGTCCATGTCCTCGTTGCGCAAACTCTGCACCGCTTTGTTCACTTCCTCGGCATCGAGCACTACGCCCACAGAGACGACAACTGGCTCCGGTTCAGGTTCGGGTTCAGGCTCGGGCTCAGGCTCTGGCTCTGCCTCTGTGGCAACCTCTTCGACGGCTGCCTCAATCGCCTTGGCAGCAAGCGCTGCCTCCTCATCGGGCTCGGCGACAGCCACCTCCGAAACGGTAGCGGTCATATCATCCATGCCATCCAGCGAGTAGTCTGCCGTTGAGGATGTGCCAAAGCTTTCGCCGAGCAGTGCGGACACAGCGCTCTCAGTCTCCTCCTGTGAGATGGTAACTCGGGACTTGCTGTCCTCAAGCTTGTCCAGCGTCTTGACAGCTCCCGGTGGCGATGCGACTGGTATCTTGGGCTCATTGGCCAATACATCGAGCAGTCCGCTATTCAACTCAGCCGAAATGGATTGCACCGCCGACTCGCTTATTTTATAGTCCAGCTGACCATCAAAGCCCGGTATGAACACCTCCTTCTTCTTGTTCAGAGCCGCACTGGTGGGTGAGCTGCTCTCTATGGAGTTCTTCGACTCAACAGCAGCAGCCGCTGTTGAGGATGTGGGCGTGGTGACCAGAGGCGCAGCACCACTGCTGACAGGCGTTTCCGCTGACTGTGTGGACAGCATGGAGCTGTTGCTCTGGCTAATGGTGGGCGTCTTTGGTATGGGACTGATCAGGCGTGGCTTCTCACGAGCCGGCGAGAGCGCATCGGAGGAGTTCAACCGGTTGCTCTTGCTGTTCGTGTTGCTGCTGCTGCTGGCTGACGAGGCCTTGATGGCGGGCATCGTTATGGGTGGCTCCTCGTCATCGTCGTCGCCAATGAGACAAGGCAAACTGGGCGATGGCTTGCAGAGTGGAGAACTGTGCTTCGATTCCTTCTCCAGCTGCTCCTCGGCATGCTTCGAGGCGGCCTGCACATTGATAGTCAGCGAGCTAACCGAGGAACCTGTAGCTGTTGTTGGTGCAGCAGCTGTTGCTGGTGGCAAGCAAGCTGATTCGCGACGGAGCTGCAATTGTTGTTGCTGCTGCTGCTTGTCGAGTTTCTCTTGTTTCTCCTCTTTGGAGCGCTTCTTCTTCTTCTTCTTGTCCTTGCTCTTGTGCACCGATTCCTTGGACTCCAACTGCTTTTCGCTCGAGTGCGAGTGCAGCTGCAACTGTTGCTGCTGCTGCTCGATAGAATTGTTGTCCTCGTTATCCGAGAAACGGAAAACGTCCGTCATATCGCTGCGATAGGTGGTTGCTGTGGAGGGCGTGGCATCTTCGGGCATCTTATTACTATCAAAGTCCTCCATAAGCTGCGCCTCCAACGCACGGCCCGCCTCATCCATATCGACGCTGTTGTCGTCGTCCAGTTTGCTTGCATTTTGCTGTTGTTGCTGCTGCTGCTGTTGTTGCTGTTGCATTTGCTGTTGCTGCTGCTGCTTTGGCTCGCGTGCTGACTTCTCGCGTCGCTTCTTTTCGCGCTTCTCTTTGCGATGTCGCTCGCGCTCACTCCGCTCCACTTCTAGTTCCTCTTGCTGCAGCTGTTGCAGTTGCTGCTGCTGCTGCTGCTGTTGTTGTATCGCCGGCTCCTTGTTGCTGCTGTTGTGGCTGAGCAGAGGCGGCTCCTGCTTGTACGTTTGCAGTGCAGCAGACACCATGGGTCCAGTGGTGGAGAGCTGTGCCTTAGTCGTGTCGGGCTGATCGTCAGTCAACTGGGATTCCTCCTCGTCCTCTTCCTCATCGGAGATAATGCCAAAGATGTCCTCCATTTTGTCCTCACTGCGCTTGGCAGAGTCTCGCGCTGGTGTGCTCAACGTGGTGGGCGTCGGTGGGGAGGCATTGGACGCATTGACATTGTACAATCGAGCTGATGTGTCCAGGCTCTTGGATTTCTTCGACTTTTTCAGCCGATGTCGCTCCTCCTTGGACAGCTTCTCGCTCAATTGCTCCACAGAGCCGCCGGCTGCGTTGGTGTCGCTCAAGTTGCGCAGCTTCTCGCGTTTCTTCTCTTTGCGCTCCTTGTGCTTCCGCCTCTCGCTGGCCGCCACCGAGCTCGCGTTTACCTCCAAAGCAGTGGCGAATGTCACCGGCTCCGTCTTCAGCTCATCGAAGCTGTCGAATTTGTTGGGCTTGCATTCGGTCACATCGAAGATGCTGCTCGTTGCAGCAGGGGCAGGAGCAACATTTATGGTGGCGCTGCTCTCGGCTGAGGACTTGAGACGCTTCTTGCTCTTCTTGTGCTTCTTGCGCGTCTCCGGAGAGTACTCCTTGATCTTGGCCGAGCTGCTGTCGCCCACATAGTTCGTGTAGCCGGTGTTGAAGTACTCGTTGTACTCCTTCTTGAAGTCCGTCTTCAGTTTGCGCTCCTCGTTGGAGGAGTGCGAATTGTGACGGGATTTGGAATACTTCACTTCGTTATCGGAGATCTGTTCCTGCTTGATGTCCGGCTCCTGTTTGATGCTGGTGTTGATCAGTTCCGGTGCCGGCTGCGACTGCGACTCCGAATCGGAGGCGATGCGCGTCGAAAGGCAATTGCGTTTGCCCGCGTGGCTAATCACATTGCGACGAATCTCATCCTCGGAGCTATCGTCGCCATCGCACAGCCGTCGAAGATTCTGTTGCATCTGGCGCAGGCGGCTAGCATTGAGATCCTCAGTCTCCGCATCCACCTCGCCATCTGCATCCGAATCGGAGAATATGCGACTGTGCGAACTCTTGCGAAAGCCATCGGCATCATCCATGTCATCGTCACTGCTGCTCAGGCCCCCATGATTGCGGCCATGGAAGCTGCTGCTGCCGCTGTGCCGATGATGCATGCGATCCTCGAACTCCGTATCGCTGTCTCCGTCGTAGCTGGTGGATCGCTTCTTTTTCGCACGCGACTGCTTCAGCTGTGAGAACTTGGCCTTGATCTTCTTCTCCTCGGCCTGGCGCTGCATATTCTTGCAGCTGCGCGCCTTCACTTTATCGTACATTGATACGTTGGGACAATCGTCGGGTATATCAAATATGGAATGCTTCTTGGATGCATCGTCTGTGTCATCCGAATCAGCGGAGCTGAGCATCATCTTGCGCGGCTGTGAAGCGCTCTTCGAGGAGGCGCCGCCCTCATCTGAGCCACGCGACGATTTGCGGTCCACGCTGCGCCGATGATGATGATGATGATGCGATTGCTGCTGCTGCGGCTGTTGTTGATGCTGCTGTTGCTGCTGCTGCTGCTGCTGTTGATGATGCTGCAACTTGCTGCTGGAGGTATTTGTGTTCGAGCTAAGCTCGCCTGCAGAGCTACCCGCTGCTGAGATGCGTCTGTGCGGATTGTGGCTGGGCTCCTCATCCGTATTGGTGGACTCGGCCACCGAATGCCGCTTCTTCTCGCGATGATGATGGTGATCTCGTTTGCTTTTGTGCCGCGACGACGACGAGGAGCTGCCATGATGATGATGCTCCCGTTGCTTATGCAGCGACTGCGATTGCTGCTGCTGCTGCTGCGACTGGGACGGCTGCTGTTGCTCCTCCTCGCTGGTGTTGAGCGTGTGCAACTGCTGCTGTTGTTGCTGCTGCTGCTGTTGTTGCTGCTGCTGCTGCTGCTGTTGTTGCTGCTGCTTGTTATCCAATTCGGTATGATTGATCTCAGTGCTGCTGGTGCTTTTGCTGTGATGCTTGTCGCGTCGATGATGCTTGGAGCTGCTGTTGCTGCTGCTGTTGCCATGCGACTTGGACGAGGAGCTGCTCTTCTCCTCCTTGCAGCCGCCGCTGCTGCTGCTGTTCTTGTGCTCCTTGGAGTCACGACGATCGCTGAGTCGCTGATGAGGATTGCTCGTATTGCTGTTCGGGTTTTCCATGCGTATGCGCTTCACATAATCCTCATGATTCTGTCCACCACCAGCACCGCCACCACCGCTGTGGTTGCTGTCCTGCGAGCTGAGGCGTCGCTTGTGCTGTCGTCCACTGCTGGGCGTTGGGGAATTCCGCGAGGATTTGCGTGAACGATCCTTGTTGCTGTTGCTCTCAGTTGGGGCTGAGCTAGCAACACTTGCTGCTCCTGCTCCAGCTGCTGCTGTAGCTGTTGTTGGTGGTGTTGCCATGTCAGTGGCCGCAGCATTTTCCTTATTGTTCTCACTGGGCGTGGCTGCATTGTGGGCGTAGAAGCTGCTCGCCTCGGAGCTGGCATCGGATTTATTTTTGTGATAGGCGCACATGTCACGCATGCGCGCATGTCGCGCCTCCTGCTCACGTTGCTCCTTCTCGCGTAGCTCCTTTTCACGCTGCTCCTTTTCGCGCTGCTCCTTTTCGCGTAGCTCTTTTTCACGCTGCTCCTTTTCGCGTAGCTCCTCGCGCTCCTTTTGCTCACGCTCCTCTTGGGCTTTTCTTTCACGTTCACGTTCACGCTCACGCTCACGTTCTCGTTCACGTTCCCGTTCTCGTTCCCTTTCACGTTCACGTTCACGCTCTCGCTCTCGCTCCTTTTCCTTTTCTTCTTTGGCTTTGCGCTCTTCACGCTCACGTTCCTCTTGGGCCTTGCGCTCTTTTTCCTCACGTTCCTGTTGCTTGCGCAGCTCCTTCTCACGTTTCTCTCGCTCCTGTCTCTCCTTATGCTGCGCCTTCTCCTTCTCCTTCTCGCGCTCCAGACGTTGCTGTGATTGCTCCTTGTCAGGCTTCTCTAGTGGCTCATCCGAATCGCTGGAATCATCGTCCACTTTGGGCGTTGCCGACTTCGAGGATTGCGATGTTGCCGAATTCTTGCGCTTCTCCGAAGCAGTTGTATTTGCGGTCGATGAGGAGGAGGAGGAGGAAGACTTCTTGGACTTCTTTTCCGAATCGGAGCGATTATTGTGTTTGCTGCTATGCGACTTGTCGCTGCTGCTGCTGTTCTTCTTGGACGCCGAGGAGCTCGTGGCGTTTGCTGCACTTGAGCTTGAGCTCTTGGCATTGCCCTTGGACTCCACTTCATCCAATGAATGGTTTGGCGTTTGCTTTTGTACGTGTGTGGCTGTTGCTGTTGAGGAACTGTTACCGTTAGAGGATGCACTGCTGCTCCCAGTTGTGCCCACATTCGTGCTGCCCGGCACTGAGGCGGACTTCTGCAGCACAGATCGCGTCTCTGTCGTTGCCGCTGGCACACTGAGACTCTTGCTGAGCGGTTGACTGGCCGCAGAGGAGGACGTGGCTGACTTTGTCTTGGGCACCTCCGGTGGCGGTGGCGGCGCCGGTTGTATCGCCGGCGGCGGTGCAGCGGTGTTTGGCAATGGCGGGTGACTGGGAAACGGATACTGCAATCCCTTTGTAGCAGCTGCTGCTGTTGCGGCTGCTGCTGCTGTCGCCGTTGCTGTTGCTGCCGCTGTCGTTGCTGCTGCTGTTGTTGTACTGCTGCTGCTGTTGCAGCTGCTGCTCAAGCTGGGCTTGGCCAACTGAACACCAACGACCGAGGGCGACGGCGACGGGCTGTTGTAAGGCGACATGGACGCTTGCGGCGAATTCATGGGCGACAAGCTACTCAATCGCTGCAGCAGACCGCTTGTCTTGCAGCTGCTGCTGCTGCCGGCGCTGTTGCCGCCCAGATTGCTGCTGCTGCTGCTGCTGCAGTTGGCTATGATGGGCGTTGTCTTCGTTGCCGCCAAATTGGGCAAAGCTGGTGAGGTATTACCACTGCATAGCCCACCATGCCGCGCATTCGCCGAGCTTGTGGAGCCCGTGCCGAAATCCGTGCTGGCCGGCTCGTACCATTGGTTCTTCTTGAGGCGCTGAAAGTCATCGTCGAAGACGGACTTCTTGGCCAACAGCGATTTGACAATGTCCGACGGCTGCAGCTCGTCAATGTCAAGAAATTTATGCCGCGAATTGCTCGTCGAGCTGGAGACAGTGCCGCTGGAGCTGTTGCTGTTGCCGGAACCAGCCTGATGCGACGAGCTGAGACCACTGAGGTTCGTCGAGTGCATCGACAGCTGCCACGAGGGCAGCGCATTCGACTGGCTGCTGCTGCTGCTGCTATGCCCATGGCTGCCATGGCCATGGTTGGGATTGGTGCTGCTGCTGCCACCGGACCAGCGCTCGTAGTTCTCCTCAAAGTTGCGCAGTCGCTCATCCAACGAGGGACTGCCGCCCGTCTGGCCACTGGGCACATCCGAGTCGCTTGAGTTGGAGCTCAGCGAGCGAGGACGCGCCGGACTGGCCATTAGGCCAATCGATGAGGACGACGACGAGGATTGCTGCAGCTGTTGTTGTTGCTGCTGCTGCTGCTGTTGCTGCTGATGGTGATGGTGATGCTGGTGATGGTGGTGATTGGAGGAGCGCCAATAGCGTAACGTGGGTGAGGGCAGAAACGATAAACTGGACGCAGTTGCTGACGATGATGATGCTGAGGTTGTCGTCGCAGCTCCTGCACTTAGACTAGAGTTGTTGTTGAGCAACGATGCTGTCGTCGTCAGCTGCTGCAGGTAGCTGGACACGCCGCTACCCGCGCCACTGCCGCTGCTGCCAGCACTCCGCTGCTGTTGAAAGAAGAGCACACCGAATTTGGGCAACGGCAGCCACATTACTTCGCGCACTCGCTCCCGTGTCCGTTCCCTTGCCGGCGGCAGGCGTCGCGGCTCTGTGGGCAACACCTCTGGCCGTTCATCGCACAGCGGCGTGCCCGGCCGTGAGCCGTCGGCGCTCTCGCCCCCGCTGGCCTCGTGTGAGTGATGGGAATGTAGCTGATGGCCCCGGCCACGCGACGCGTGATGATGATAGTCATCATTGGGCATGGGCGCTGCCAGCGTAGGTGGTAATCCACAGCTGTTGCTGCTGCTATTGCTGTTGCCGGCGGCGGCGGCGGCGGATGAGGAGGACAACAACAACGATGATGACGACGACGACGACGATGACTGCTGCTGTTGCAGCGGCTGCGGCTGCGACAGCTGCAGCGTGCTGGCTGTAACTCGACGTCGTTTCGCTGCCAGCGAAGCATTCATCAGATGCTGCTGATCCATGCTGCTGGCGCCGACCAAGCCGTGGCGAAAGGCCGACGAATTGGACAGCGCTGTCAAGGCGCCAACATCGATCGATGGCCGCCGGCTGCTGAGCATCATATTGTGGTGTTGTGTGGGCGGTGGTGCGATCGCAGCAAACTTATTCGCCTCCGAGACGCGACGAATTTCGCTTTTGCGATTGAGAGGATCATGTATTACATCACAGTTGGACAGCGGACTGGGCTTGTTGTTGGTGTTGCTGTTGCTGCTGCTGCTATGACCAGAGGCCAACGAGTCGCTGTTCTGATCCAGCATATGCAGTTGCTAAGAAAGGAAACATCATTGAATTATATTTATATTTAATGGAATGGAATCATTGCTTAGACTCACCGCACTGGCATTGGAATGATGATGATGATGGTAATCCATTTTGATGCGCTTGCGCGGACTGACCACGCCCTCATCACCACTGGACGGGCACTCGTCAAGTTGTTGTTGTTGTTCTGGCAATTGGAAACGTGGATTGTGCACTTGATGGCGCAAATCTACAGATGTCTTACCACAACGACGACGACTGCTGTTTCCGCTGTTGTTCAGCGTCACCTCGAGCGTATCGCTGATTGGAGTGCCACTCCCGCTCCCACTGGCGCTGCTGCTATTGACAGCGGGTCCGAGCCGTGCAATGACGGGCGAATCTGAGCGCACCGCCGCGTTCGCCTCCTCGTCCTGCATCTGATTGTTGCCACTGCTGCCGTTGTTGTTGTTGTTGTTGCTCGCGTGCTCGTCAAAGTTGCGAAACCGTCGACCCGTATCGTTGAAGTCAAAGTCGATGGTGTGCCTCGCATTGCGCGCCATACGCATACGCGCCTGCACCATCGCCGCCGGCGACATGGGCATGGCATTTTGTGGGCAACCCACAGTCGAGGACAACGCTGCGGTTGCTCCTCCACTGTTGCCGCTCACAACTGCCGAGGCAAGACTCGGCGCTGGCATCGCATTGCTGGCCGAGACGTTGCCGCTGCTGCTGCTGGTGCTACTGCTGCTGGCGGTGGTTGCGGTGCTGCTGCCCGGCGTACTGCCGCCCGGCGAACAACCATCGTTCGAGTTCTGATGCCGACTGAAGGAGGAGGCTCGCGAACGTGTCTGTGATGACTCGTAGCGATTAAAGCGCGAGGAGGCAGATGCTAAAAGCGCAAAAGATATCATCAATTGAAATTATCTCTATTAAACACCAGCTGCAGTTACTTACCCGCATTGGGCTGCTGTGTTGGCTGTTGTGGCTGCGGTTGAGGTTGCAGCTGCTGCAGTGGCTGTTGTTGTTGCTGCTGTTGCTGCTGCTTCTCCAGCTTGTCATAGAAGGCATCCTGGCACTCGTGCGACGCAAAGTCCACTTGGAGCTTGCGTCCACGCATTATCGTGCCGCGCATTTCCTTGACAGCCGCCTGAGCGTTCTGCACCTGATCGTACAGCACCAAAGCCAATTGCCGCATGCGATCGATGCTCACCTTGGTCACAGTGCCAAAGCGCGTGAATTGCGATTGCAAAAACGACTCGGACACCTTTTCGCCCACACCATCGATCCATACGCAATTCGTTGGCATCGATTTGCCAAAGCCGAGCTTGATGCGATTGCTGCCCAAATGCTCGCCATCCATTTTACGCATCGCTTTCACCACAGACACAATGTCCGAATACTGACAAAAGGCGTAGGCATTGAGTCCTTGCTTCTTGATGTCGATCTCGATGATTTCGCCAAAGCTTTCGAAGTGGACACGCAGCTCACTCGCCGTGATATCCTTCTCCAGATTGCCAATGAATAGCGTTCGTGTGGACTTGGGATGGTATTCATCCAGTTCGGCCTCATAGGGACGAAACTCATTGTCCTCCACATCGTAGCCCTGATAGGGCTCCACTTCGATTTTACAGCCAAAGAAATGTTTATCATGCGACACTTCCAGTGCCTTCTCCACATCGTCCGGTTTCTTAAAGCAGACGAGCGCATAGCGTTCCGAATTCTGGCCCACAACCTTGACCCACGTGACTTTGCCATGCTTTTTGTACTCGTGAAAGAGACCATCCTTGAGGGATGTGTCCGAGGAACGGGCGGGCAGGTTACGGACTCGTATCGCCAACGGGCGATTATCTTCGGAATGAACCACCGGATTGGCGGCCAAACAGGAGCTGCTGCTGCTGCTAGAACTGCTGCTGCTGCTGCTACTGGAACCACACCCGCCGCCCACATTGCCACTGGGATTTGAAGAGTTGCCTACGATAAATTAGAAAATTTGAGTAAATCTAGTATAGAGTCGGTATCCATCAGCTCTGTCGTCTACTTACTGCCAACTGTCACACAGGACTGCAAGCTGCGTGAGCTGCGGTGCGCTGTTCCTGCAATGCCACCAACGCCACCAACGAGTGCATCGGCACAATTGCCCGATATCGGGCTGGACGCGTGCGAATGCGACGATGTGTGCGATGAGGCCGATGATGAGCTGTGCGAGCTGCTATAACTGCTCGGCGATCGTGAATGGGAGCGACTGGACGACGTTGTGCTGCGTCCATGCAAATGATGTCGCGGTGCTCGACCATCGTTCACATTCTGTGTTGTCGCATTGCCATTGTCCACGACGGCGGCCAACGCGGCAGCGGCAACATTTAAAATGTCGCCACTGTTGCTGTTGCTGTTGCCACTTGAAGATGTTGCTGTTGCTGCAATTGGCATCGTTGGAGTGGCCGTGTTTATTGTATTATTTAAACTATTACTACTAAAACTATTGTTTGTGATTGTACTTGTCGTCGCTGCTGCCGCTGACGCTGCCGCAGCACCGCTCAAAGGCGACTCGGAGCCGCAGCGCGCTGCTGCCGTCGTTTTGAGCAGCTTATTTAGTTTGCTGACACCACCAGCAGCGGGACTTCTACTGCTGCTGTTGCTGTTGCTGCTGCTGCTGCCACTGCTGCTGTTGTTGTTGTGGTGCAGGTGAATTTTGCGGGCAGAATTTAAAGTGGTTGTTGCTTCATCCGCAGCACTGCCCGCATACGCCACACTCCGGTGCATGGCCGTCGTAATGGACGCCGCTGCTGCTGCTGCTGCGGCTGCCGCCGCCGCTGCTGCTATCGTATGCGAGTGGGCGGGTGATGAATACGAGGCGGATGTGTTGTTGTAGTGATGATGCTGATGCTGATGTGGATGTGAATGATGATTGATCGGTGAGCTCATTATGCTGCCAGCTGCTGAGACGCCGGCATTGCCACTGCCACCAGGACTTTTCAGATGCGCTGTCGCAGTAGCCGCAGCTTCGTACCATGACTGCGGTACGCGTGTGTTTTGGTTAATGATGTTGTTGTTGTTGCTCCGATCGCCCAATGGTGGCCCACCACCACCACCAAATCCACCCACTCCGAATCCCGCACCAGCAGTTGCTTGTCCTGCTCCTGCTGCTGTCGCTGCTCCAGCTGCAATTGCAACCGCGCCCACTCCCGCTGCAGCTGCTGCCGTTGCTGCTGTCGTTGTCGTCGTGTTGCTGTTGCTACTCGTAGCTGACGCACCAACTGCTGCTGTTGCTGCTGCTGCGGCTGCTGCTGAACCATTCCTGTAAAGACGATCTCGAGCGCGCGATCTATCGCTGCTGCTGTTACTGTTGCTGTTTGTGTTGCTGTTGGCAGTTGTCGCTACTGCTGCTGCTGCGTTGCTGGCTTGATAGACTAAGCGGCTGCGATCGTAATAGTTCCTTTCGAAGCTGTTTGTCGGTGGTTCTTCTGTAGACCTGCAATAACAGAAGAAATCGTTGAAACCGGATAAGCAAAACAGTTGACAACTTGAGTATATATGTTTGTTATTCTATTCATAATGCGAATGAAGTTGTAGTATGTGGGTAGAATGCCTGTTATTTAAGCTATGTATATCATATATCACTTGAACACGATTAAAATTATAAGTACATTTTAAATAGAGCACAACATTGTTATCAACACAGTTTTAGAGTCCTTAATTAACATCTCTAAATTTCCAGCTAGGTTTTTAACACACACACAAACACCGTTTGACAGTCACTGTTTGGCATTAACAGCGCGTGTGAGGGAGATGGCCAGCTGTTGACCTACTCTAAAGATAAAGCCAAAACAGTTTTGCAGCTCGTCAATGTGTTGTTCACCGTTTGACAAACATTGTGTTTATATTGACACATAAATATAAACTCATAATTTTATATAAGAACCGTTTTCATAGCGATAGTCTATTGTGTTGACCTACTCTAACCAACTGCAAAACAGTTTCACAATCGTTTTGGTCACCGTTTGACATTCATTGTTTTCAGCATTTACAGTCTAGGAGTCACAAGATCAGCAAGCAAACGTTTTCTTCGCGCTGTTTTTTAACACTGTAAGCCAAATACACAGTATTCTGTGATTGCTTGACATATTTAATATTTATATAATGAAACTACCACCACCACCACCCACAAGCACATACACACACACCTCCGCATAATAGTTTTTATACAAAAAACCTTGTCAATTTATGGCGGCTGTTGCTGCAGCTGCTGTATGGAAAAAAGGGTATCCGTTGAAGGATCGGCTTTTCCTCAGCAGCGCCAAATGGGCGCCTTTTGTTTTCTAACATGGGCGCAAATAAAATCAAGCCAATTGTATTTTAAAGAAATATTTATATGCAATATTTGATTTCTTCAACAACAAAATATGTATATGAAACAAACACACACGCGAGCAAAAATTTCACCGGCGAAAAAAAACTTATATATAAAAGAAAGAAACGGCGCCAAATTTTTCAACGTCTGCCGACGTCGTCGTCTGTTTACGCGGCAGAACTTTTTTCTTGTATTTTATTTTTTTGTATTTTATTTGCGAAGACACAAACGCACGCACACACATAAACAAGAGCTGCCGCTGAAGCTGTAGATGTAGCTGTAGCCGGTGCCTGGGCAGTAGAGAGCGCAAAGCAAAAATATATATGTATGTATATATCAAAACCGGTTTCTTCTTAATAATTACACACATGCACACACACAGTATTTGTTGTTATTTGTTTGATACAGATAAATTTTTATTACATCTATTTTTTTAATATTTCTCTTTATTTCGCGGATTTTATTTTATACAGTTTCACTGATCGCGTTGTCGCTTCTTACTAATTGCTCAATCCGCTTTCATGCCGATATTCGCGTAACCAAACACGAGCGGCGGCCGCAGCACAATGTTGCCAGATCGCTAAGCATGTGTGGGCTGCCAAGCTGTATTATTTTTATTAACAGCACCAACTGAGTTAAACACATTGCAATTGAAATTGAAATAAAATATATTAATATTAAATTTAAAATATATGAATACAATAACTACTAAAGTATGCGGTTACAGATAGCTGACAGTAGAGCTACTCCTCAAGCAGTTAATAACATCAAACTGTTACTAACAGTGACAACAAATGTTTGTTTATGTTATTGCACGCTGTTATCATTAGGGTGGACACCAACAAAAGAAAATGTAACGACGCAATACTCAGGTAAAAACTTGGTGTTTCGCGCTACCTGGCATGAAAAATCAACCCCAGCCATAAATTAACATGCGACGCAAAAAGGCCCAGAAGAAGAGTAAAACAAATGACAGGCCTATTTTCTATACAACAGGGGAAAATACAGGCGCGACGACCTTTAGCTAAAACTGTTCACGACATTCCTTTTGTGCGAAGAAGAGGAAGATAAACCGCTTTCGAAATATGTCACGAATATGCTAAGGGCACGTTAATAGTTATTGGAAATGACAGGAATCCACATATACAGTGTATGTAACATCTAGCTGGAGGTATGTATGTAAATGTATTTCGGGCCTTTGCGCAGAAAACCGATCTCATATACTCTTGCAGCTCAGTATCGAATTAATTGATCACATAGAAAAAAAGATATCGCATATAATATCATGTTCAGATTTTATATAGTCTTAAAAAAAAAAAAACATTTTAATTGGAATTCCCAAACTGTTCTCTGTATGCTCTATATTCTATGTACATATATACATATGATATTCGCGAATCTACGTGTTCTTTTATGAGACAAGAACCGTACTCATTATGCATCAACGATTTAGAAGACAATTTCGATCTATACACAACAATAAACATTCGGACAAGTAACACTCATATATTTTAATTTTATACTTCTTAAGGAATATGTTTTATTCATGGCAACCAAAGCATATGAGAAAAATATATTCCAACAAGTTTCTATATAATTTACTTAAGCAAGAATCCAGCTAATCGATCTATCAAAGTATAATTAATATATAATAATTAATAAAGATTAAGTTTAGTTTTTTTTTAGTAGAAATCTAAGAATTCTGTACACATTGTTAATTCAAGTTAACATTAATAACAATAGTAATACTATATAGTCATAATATTGTTATCAGAATTTTACTTTGATTTGATTTTTTTCGCAGTTGAAAGTGAGGCAAATCAAATGCAAAGCCTTACATTCACACACGTGTATTTATGTGTGTATGTGCTTGTGTGCATCTATCCCAGTCAGCTTTGATGAATTGAAGCCCCAATGCTCTGTCATTCGTTTGCCAAAAGATATTCATTTTTTTTGTTTAAAGCCGCATTAAGCGCTTTAAGCGCCCAGAGAACAACGCAACGAGCCCAAAGCACTTAAAATATGGCCATGTAGCACATACTCCAAGTATATATGTATGTATAGGTACATAACCGTTATATATAAATATATATACATATGTATGTATATAAGGTAATGCTGCAGTTTCCAGCTATGGCTGGAAAGTATGTTGCTGGCTGTGGGTGGGCGCATGACTCAGGCACAAAAACAACACTGAGCATATATACACACACATATATAGATGTATCCATGTGTGTGTGTAGGGACTGTATATATGTATATGTATGGTGAGCAGCAATTGCATTTGCTAAGAGCGGTGGCTCGCCAGTTGCCCGGCATGCGCAGTGAGGCGGGCCCAAAAAATCAATTCAGCTAAAATTGCGCCCCGGTTAGGGAAGTGCAGAGAGCCAAGCAGCAGGAAAGCAAAACCAACAACAGTTAGCAATAGCAATAGCAACATTTGTTGCGCCAAACGGCGAAGAGAGCGAGCGACAGCAGTGAGAGAGAACGAGAAGTAACAGTAAACAACAGCAGTAGCAGTAGAAGCAGCAGCAGCAGCAGCCGCTGCCGCAGCCGCAGCCGCCGTCGCAGTCAGCAGAGTAAAGTAATTGCGAGAGACAACGAGAGCTGGGCGAGCACATTTTTCGGGCGTTTGGACAGAGCTGTAAATTGCATTACTGCGACGTTCACTCTGCGTGTGCATGTGTGTGTGCGTGTTTGACTATGTATGCTGCTCTTATGTAATATATGTATATGTATATACATATATACGGTAAATGGACGCCGCCCACAAATTGAGCCTGGGCGGAATGTTGTTCGCCTCACAGCAAACGTCCTTGTTTGAGGTTATTTCTGTATATATGTGCTAGCTGTATGCGAGTGTGTGTGTGTGAATGTGTGGGTTTGAGTGTGCAACTTTTTTTGTGCAAGTTGAAATTCCTGAAATCCCCTTTTAGCCTTTCATTCAATCATTGCCGGGGCAGACATTGCAACCCAGCCCAGCCCAACTCAACCCTCTGAGCATCGACTACGTGAATTGTCGCACTGCAGTCAAAAGTAATTTTAAGGGATTCTGCCACAGCGCAAATTGATCAACATATGAGGTAGATGCAGCAGCAGCAGCAGTAGCAGCAGTTGCTGTTGCTGGCAAGTTGAAGGACACGGGAATGACAGCTCACACATGCACACAGAAGCATGGGCTATATGCATATTTTTATATGCATACACACACACTCACACATACATACATACATACTCATATGAGGATATAAATACGTGACTATTTATGTATTTACATACATACATACTCATGCTCGTTCATAGGCATACCAATCCTATGCACACACAAGCATGCCAACACACACACACACACATATATACATGCATACATAGAGTACACACCCATATAAGCATACATCACATGTAAACAAGCAATTTACGTGGGAATAGCATGTTACATACATACA